AAAGTTCACCAACTCTATGTACATTTGGTTGCTGATTAAAGTTGTCACAAAACTCGCTGTGACGGGGCGATTTAGAGGTGAGGGAGCTAAGCAACGTGCAACTTGATTATTGCCAAAAACAGACGCGCGCCAGACAGCATGCATGGCGAAGCAGCAACACACAAACATATACTTTGTTTACCTACGCAAACACACACACACACACATGCATGGAGTACGTTGGCTGAAAGCTTCGGCAGGACAATTTCGAGCAATCGCAGTTCTACGCACGAGATTAGAATTGCATTGACCTGCGGTGAGTGTGAATGAATGTGTGTATGCAGATACAAGTAATACTATACTTGTATGCATATACAAATATGTATGGTATGAAGGCGTGTGTGGGTGTTCGTGCTTGTATCGCGTGGAAATTAATCAAGAAAACAAACGAAGTGAACGCAAATGAATGGACACATTCCGCATGTGAGAGCGTTGCGCCAAAAGGGAGATTTTTGCAGGGCCTTATGTGTAGAGGGTGCGTACGTAGTCGGAAGATTTAGATGAACACTCGCACAGACATGAATCAAACTGAAGTGAACTGCAACGAATTTAAATACATGGAAATCATCATAAATACTCGAAGTATTAGGGGAGACGAATTAGAATCTCTAAGCGTGGACTTATGTTGCCAATACATAGATGTATGTATGTATGTGTACCCTGTAGTAAAATCAACTGACTATCAACTAGCTCGCGACTAGTATGAACCGCAAGCCCAACTAGTCGGGTGACTCTCTCTCTCTTCTTATTCACTTAAGGTAAGTGGTCCTTTTCACGGCGCCAAGTGATCTAACAGATTTCGGTTTGAAAAAATTCAAAATATGACAAAAAGTTATCTCATTCAGTTTTGTAGCAAAACAAGTTTTCAATGTGTGGTTAATGAATTGAAATTTTTAATTATTATATTGTATACATATGTATACAATAGGATATTTGATATATTATATTATTAACTTTGGTTTTTTCTATCAAGTAAGTTCTTAGTTCAAAAATCTGGTTGTGAACTAGTAATTACTTTACTAGTTTTATGTTGTAGATTTTCGAACTTTTTTCATAACGGAAAAACTGTAGTAGTGCTTTCCGCCTTGATGGTAATTCAAGGTAATAGATATGTATGTATGGAGTATTTGGTATGCGTTTGCGAGTAATTTCTCCATTAAAACCCAGAATTTATATGCCGAAAGCGTACATTTCCTTTTCAAGCAATGAGTTCGGACGTTTTTCTACAACTTCCCCCCTAGCGTTGAAATCTGTGAGCACAGAGTAAAAGTGATACAAACATATTAAATACGGCTTGTTTGGTATATATTTGTGTTTTTGCGAAATGTTTAAAAATATTGCTTTATAGGAATCCAATACAATTAAACCTATGTAATGTAATTATTCTGTCACTTGTCAGAAAGCTGTCCACATTTTGGTCGAAATTTACATAAGAATAATTTATAAAGGATTCGAAAGAATGATATATCTATACCTGTACCTGTACCTGCTTTTCTCTATCATAGTGTTGTTGTCGATTATTTGAGGAAAGCAAAATAAAGGCTTGCTATTTGCTATAGTGTGCACTTAAAGAGTAACCATATCGTCGAAAATTAGCTGTTAGAATATTTCGTCAACGGAACACTACTGCGATCATACGAATCGAATTTTTTATTGCAATATTCTGTCATGTAAACAATTATTTGTATCCTTTCTAGAATTAAACGCCTTCATCAGTTGTTCAAGCAGGCAATCCTTTAGCGTCGATTCCTGCCCCACACCTGGCGTCATTTTAAGCCGTTAAAGGAAAATTCGCGCGCAAAACATACTCAATAACTATATAACTGCATCAAAGTATAGACAAGTACATTAAATACCTACATAAATATGGAAAATAAATACCTATATACTAGTAGTGTGTTCCTTGAAGATTAGTAAACATGTGCAATTGTGAAAAGAGTATATTCGATGTGAAACCCTTGCGTATTTTTGATTTACCCGCAAAAACTGGCGAAACTACAGAAAACACTATTCTTTGTTTTGTTTGAAGAAATACACGAACAAACGTAACGGAAACATGGTATTTTGGTGAGAGCGCAAAAAAGAGATTTAATCCCAAATTAAAGCCCTTAACTTCCTCTTTTCACAACTTGGCATACTGAATTGATTATTTATTACCATTTATTGATTTCTCTGCTATACAATCAGGAGTATTTCGAAACCGACTAATGGCTCTCCCCGTTCCGTCTTATTATTATTATATGTTTTTTTGTTATTTTTTAGTTTTTTTCTTTTGATTTCTTCTTTTTGCGTATCCAATATTCTGTAATTTTTTAAAGCAAATTCAAGGGTAAAAATCGAAAATTCTAATGCAATCAGCGATCGTGCACGAAGGGAGAACAATAGCCGAGGAGACAAACATAGCAAAGATTACGCAAGATCATCGACGGCTTATACAGGGTTACAATGCAGAGGGTTGTTTCCACCCTTAAAAAACAGCAAGTCGAATGACGTAACTGCGCCAAGAGAATATTTTACAATAACAACAAACTACCACACATTCGTTAGTGGAGGTAAAAAATGAGCGGTACCAAAACCCTACACTTTAAATTTACAGTTTTTTCTGAAAAACTTGCGACATTTGATGCAGATATTTTTTTTTGTGGAAAAATATAAAAAAAATGCGTCACAGAAAAAAGAAATAAATAATAATGAAAATAGTGAAAAAATCCCATCGCAATTTTGAGCGGAGAAAGCGGTACTACAGTAGGTAAAATGTTTGACGAGCTCAGCTGTCACTGAAAACGGTCTATGACTACGGCTCAAGGCACATAGTTAAACATTGTGCAATTTTGCTAAATTTAACGTATTTTTCTAAATGTTTTCTCACACGTTGCTGTGGCTATTGAAAAATGCGCGACTTCATACCCTTTAATGTGTTTTTTTCAATTAAAACTATGAGAAATATGCCATTTGGCTGAAAACAATTTTATAGGAAAATAGTGCGCCGTAACGATTGCTTCATAAGCTATTAAATATATAATTATAACCTTTGCTACTAGATACTCGTACCTGAACGAGCTTCTCCTCGTATTTGGGGTGTATGTATAGAGAAATGAGTGTCTTATAAGGATTTATAAGGAGTCCAAACGGATTGGATTATAGAAGCTTTTGCTTTGCCATTATTTTCATTTAGGTCTTGAACTGATATAGAAGGTCTGCGTAGTCGACAAAACTTGATTTAACTTAATAATATTAATGTAATAAATAGTCTTGTCATAGAGACATGTTTTATATATTGCATTGACAAATATGTATAAAACGAAATTATTTTTACCTGCACCTTGGGGAACTCCTATAATTATTATTATTTGAAATAAAACAGTTTGAATATGATTTAATTAATGAGATGATGTCATACAATTTATACGTATGTATGTCAGAAGCATCGCAATTAAGTAAAGACGTAAAAAAGTACGAAATATTCAAAAAATCGAAAAATGTGCCCCTGTATAAAATAAACATGTATGTACATACATTTGTATATATGTGACTGTATTAGAACACATCTTAAAAGTAAAGTCCTTGTTTTCCAAAGTTTTCATTTGGTTTTTTTTCTTTCTTTTCTGTTTCTACATGCAAACTCCTCATGATGATTCGAAAATCAAGCGTATCACAAAGACATGTGAATAAATCCAATTTTTGCACATTTACTTATGGGTGGAATTTATGATTTCATTCTTTATACCTTTTAAAGTGATTTTATTGGATTTAGATTTTTACCGCCACCTTTGTCCTATTAACAAAGCAACCTCCCCCGAGTTTCAAAAACTCAAACTCTCATTCACACACCTTCAGTGCGTCGTAAAACGTTGTTGCCCTCTCGGCAACGCTCCACTTGCGAATGTGCTGGTGGGTGACCACCATCATGTACGCCCGTGCCTCGTAAATCTCACCAATGCGAGTATTCGAAACTTGTGAAGCCTTACGAGGGGGTAGGGGGGCTTGCTTGCCATCGCCATGACGCTGCTGTCAAATGCCATGAATTTACTTGCTCATATATGCACACATACACATACAATATGTGTGTGCCATATTGACATAGGCATGTGTTGGTGTTGTGCTCTTGGAACTTTAAAGTCGGGCCATGTCAAAGGTTACAGTACTCACTTTGGGCGCAGATAAACACTGCAGGCGGGTGGTGAGTGCATTTTTTCATGTTATTACTCAATAAAATATTTTGGGGTACCCGCAACCAAAGTGGTTTTAAATTCCATTAGGTAAAAATGGCTGAGGGGCATTAAAATGCTTGAAATTGTTTACGCATGTTGTTTATGCACGGTGTAAATTCATATTTTTCACATGTAATGGAGTTTGATTAGCCTCGAAAGAACACACACACTCACACAACTGTGCGTGTGCGAAGCCTTTGTGCTGCCGCACACCTCACAAGTGGGGTTAGCAGACAAGTGTTCTTGTGTTTTTCTGAAAATTTGAACATGTTGTCTAAGTAGAAAAGCGGAGTGAAATCTCTTGACGCAAGTGGACCGAGTAAACCAATTTAAATCTGCCCGATTTGCGTTCGTTGTTCGAAAAATATGAATGAATGAGAACATTAAGGCATTACTTATATATCAAACACACAAATGCAAAAGTTGCTAATAAAGCCTTTGAAAAGCTAATGAAAATTAGGAATTACCATTTGGGACTCTAAAACGTTGTTGATATTTCTCAATAATGAAAGGATACACGTCTACATGTCTGTTCTAATTGACGCCCACCAATTGAAACCCCTAAATAAGCCCGGATCAATCCACACTTACATATAAAAAAAGCTGGATTGCACATTTTGCAGTTGTGGCACTCGTGTAAATGCATTTATGCATAGCAACAAACGCGTCCCCCCCAAAAAAAAATTCGTTCACTTTATTAATCGGCTCGTGTTACATTTTGTATTAATTTGTTCGTTCATCGCTACTCACCTGCTATTGGAACATTCGCACTTTTTTCTTTTGTCACCTTCGTGATGGGCGCGCATTTACCCATGACTTTGGAGGACGTGTCTGTGGTCGTTGAGATTTCTACATTGTCTCGTGTCGTCATTTCTTCGAATTGCGCCAAATCATCCCTCGCAGCCTCAGTGTCGTCGATACGAACGCCAGCCAGTGCACCCACTGCCGCTGTCCCTGTCGCCCGCTCGGTTTGGTCTTGATCCACTTGCGGCACAATGTCATCAACACTATGGCAGACACCATGCCAATTAGAATTAGTGCGAGCGTTATTAACAAAGGCAATGCCATTCGCAGCATCACCAGCAACAGTCGAATTGGGCACACATACAAATGCTGACGTGGTCTTTGTTGTGGCTACCGCGACGCTTTCATGGCTTTCACGAATTCCGGGTGACCCCAGACATGCTGCCGTCTCTTCGTGTTGTGTAGTTGTTTGCCGACCGCGTCCATCACCATCAAAATTGTCGTTGTTAGCACTGAAGGTGTTGCATATGCGATGCTTTAATTGATGCTCTCGTATGAGACGATCTCTCTCGTGAAAATGCCGCACGAACAATTGCTCTCCATTGCTAGTGTAACCTAAGGATGTGTAAGTTACGCGCTCCTGTTCATAGTCTGATTGTTTTTGTTTCGATTTTTGTCTTTGTTTTGGTTTTTGGGTTTGTTTCTGCTTGCTTTTGATTTTATTGTGAATGTGGTCCTGGGTGTGGGTGTGTTTGTGGGTATTCGTTAGTTGAGAAAGTCTCGCCGTTTGGTCGTTAGACGCGGCACCATGAGTGTTGTTGGCATTCTGGGTTAATGACTTTCTAACGTATGACGGCAGCGCCGATGTAGACGTCACGTGAGATGACGTTTCTTCAGCTTTCCAATCTTTGTAGTATTTAAGGGAATGGGGTGGTGGAGTTGGTGGCTTCCGGTGCGCGAACATAGGAGTTGTTGATGATGTGTGAGGTAGGGAGATATATGAAGGCTGAAGCGTATTAATTAATGTTCCCTTTGTTGTTGGTTGTGCTTTCATTTCCATTGATGCTGTTCTGAAACTTCCCGCTACCGCTGATATATTTGTTGAAGCCGCCACTGTTACTGAGTTGGCTGTGGTTGGGTTATTTCTAAATAGGAAAGGACCTGTCATTGCACTCTTGGTTTGCAGCACAACTTCGTTCAGAGGTGATTGGTGTTCTGATATGGATCTATATAATTGCAGAGATTCGGCGGCCGAGACCAAGGTGTCAGTATTGTGAGTCATTTGGTTTCCATATTGATTTTGATAATTATCATGATATGGCTGCCCCACTTTGGGTACCCTTAAGTTAGTCGCAACTGGCGGCGTTTGTGAAAACTGAAGCATGCGTGGAGGTAACAGTGATGGTTGCAGAAATAGTTCGGCCATTTGCTGTAGGGAAGATGATGGCGGCGTTTGGATCTGAATATTGTGAAGACCAGTTAGGGAAACCTTGCCGTTAACTTTTTTCGTGTGCTCTGATACTGTGTGGGGGGAGGGGGTCATTGGGATAAGGGCGTCATTTAGGCGTTCCCCGGATGGTAGACGAACATGCGGTATAGACAATGTTGTCAGTCGATTGGACCTTACAGTTTCAAACACCTGTTGAAGCGTTGGGGACTCTTCAGCTTCTGAAATGATTTCACTTGCCTCTGCAGTCTGTCGCTGAAACAGTTTATTATGCAACCCCTTACTTATATAATTACCATTTGGTTTATTATATAAGCTGCCAAATAAACTCGGAAGCTTGTTAATTGGCAGTTGAGTACTCAAGGAGCTATTTTCCTCGATTTGCGCCAACAATGTAGAGTTAATTGATTTAACATACTCCAAATGATCCAACTGGAATGGCGGTAGCTCGGTTTGGGGAAGTGTGTTTTCTAAACCTTTCGTGACATCGGCTAACAGTTGTCCTGGTAGGGGTAACGGGAAAATACCGTTATAATATATATTTTGATTGTCTATTGCATTTATTGCAGCAACGGCGAATGAAGTTGTTGTTGGCGTTAATGTCCGTGAGTTTGAGTTTAGGCTGAGTGGTGGTAAATGCCAGGGGCAGTGAATAAAAAGCCCCGTCGATTCGCCGTTAACTTTCAATGTCGCCGTCTCTGGAAATGAATAACAAAATTATTTCCTTTAATACGCAACTTAATATGTACATATGTATATATCCAGTATGGCGACTAATTCGCAAGTTTGCATTGACATTAGTGATCAATTGCTTTTTTAATACATAGGTATATATATAATTGTGATCATACATATATTCATATAGACATGTTATTGAATGAATGTAAACGCCTATCAGTGAATCCATAATGTAGCACATTAATGCCACTGCCACTTGCCATAACCATTTAGGTACGCACATACATACACTTCTCGAAAAGTAATGAGAATTCACCCTAATGGGGCTGCCTTTTTTGGGTTTTTATACAATTTGTGCCCAAAAACATATTTATTGTTAATATTTCACAACCCTTTCTGCCTACATACACATACTTATGCACATAGTCGCATCTTTCATGATTAACTCTTTTCTGATTTTCTGCTCACAAAACACATACATACGTACATCCATATAAGCATGAGCGATATAAATGCGATGAATTATGACTAAGGCGAAAATGACAACATCATCGAATTATCGTTATGTTTTTGCCGTTAATTTTACACCATCATCCCACTTTCTGACAGTGATTAATTCATCAAATAACAATCTGGTAAATATAGTGCCTTGTAAGCGAGTTGCAAAAGTCGAACTATAGGTAAACATATGGTTTCAAATACTTTTACTGCGTAAGAGTGTATATATCTTGTATACGTTCGTTAATGACCGAATGAGTTATACGAAGCCTTCTTTTCCCATACTGATCTAATAAGTGGTGGTTACATTATGAAATAGTGGAAATACTAGCTGGAGGAGCACCAACAACCCGCAGAGCCCTTCTAAAAAGTGAAAAGATATCATGTAAAATGAGTCTTTGCAGCCATATAAAGGAAGAGCAACTAGCAATCTAAATTGAGTGATTATAAGACGCGACTCAAATAATTTGTAACATCTTTTGTGTTACATTTAGGTTAAGACGATGTGTAAAAAGCTTCTGGATACTGTTTCTGTAACAAAAAATCTAAAAAACCCATTTGGGTAGCCCAAATTTGAGAGAAATATGTATAATTATTGATCAGAGTTTAAAATGGAGAGAAGTTTGGTATGTATACTTATGTCCACCATCTAAATATATATTACACTTACAAATATGGTCATTGGCAATCCACGCTTATGAAATATCGCTCCACAAGTATAATATATTTCATAATCATTAGGTTAATTTAACGACTAATGATAAATCACTTCTCAAAGTGCAGCAATCCATAAATAAATATTACATGTCTTACAAATGTGTGTTGAAAAGTTTCTGAGTCTTCACATGTACATAAATGCATAAAAACGCACTCAAACGTTCCAACTACTCATATCAACCGGCGCATTATATGATTATATGATTAAGCATAACATTACGGAAGTATTAGGAAACATTAACACCCTTCGCTGAGTGCTGACACCCCTTTAAAGGTGGCAATCCAAGGCACGCATTCGCCGAAGACGAAGCTGGAGCTGCAGCGCAATCGGATACGGACAGGCGTTTGACACGCGTGTGAAAATTGAACGCTCAAATAAGAAAACGTTTAACTCCTTCACAGGGAAAACATAAGCCACAAGACATATGGCACAGGCCAGGCGACAAGCAGCAGACGTAAGATGGTAGCAGAAGGCAGCAGAGAGAAAGAGATGTTCGAGCAATTTGTTAAAAAGTGAAAGGGTTGTGAAGCATAAAAAACACCACGGAGTGGTAGGTATGTGTGTGGAGTGCGCGAGAGAAGTGTCGCCGCACAGGAAGCCAAACGTAGACGCGTGGCAATGTTGTTAAGATGCGCCCCTGTTGTTGTTGTAATGATGGTAAAAGGGAAAGGAAGCGGCGGCAGATGCTTTTGCCAGCAAATGAGATCAAGCGAAAGCAAAGGTGCTTTTGTGACGAAGGGATTGACATTAGACACAAGCGTTGACATAATGCACGAACATACACACGCACATTGTCGTTCATATGTATGCATGCCACGCGCGCTAAGCAATTTTTCATGTGCAGGAATTCTCGTAAAGGCAAACAATGCTATGAAATGAAAATTCGATGGCAATTCGATAGCAATTCGAGATGAACCACGCGTTTCAGTTGCACGATAATTGCGAATCGCAACACCCTTGGCTTAAATCATGCACACAACAAACTATAAATAGTTCTACGAGTATATAGCATGAACTATTCTACATATACATATACAACTTTCTCTTAGAAATCAGCACTCAAACGCACGGTAGCCACCGAGGTGCAGCAAAACCTCCGGTTTGGCATGAAGAAGTTGTCATGATCCCGAAATATTCGCTTTAAAACTAAGTCTTAAAACTTCTGCAACCTCTCTAAGTCATAGTCAATGCATATAAGAAATATCGACGCTTAGCAAAGCGCAACATAGGCTCCACAACTTCTCTGATATAAAAAGGAGCAGCAATAAAAAGGGGGAAGCAGTTGCTCTTTGCTGGCTGTCTCATGACTGGAAAGCGACATGCTACTAAAATAAATTTTTGATTTGAATAATCATATGCTATTTTACAGACCTTCTTTAAACTTCATTAGGCAAATTAAGACAACAAAAGAGAATTTTATCAATACATTTTCAAATAGTAAGACGAAAGTAGTTTAAATTATTTCAAAGCATACTTATATTAATGCATTGTAAAAATTTCTTTATTCATAATTTCATAGACGTTTTCAGCTACATATAATTGCGAATCTATAGTAAAAATGGCAAACTTAATTTCTCTTTTTTGAAGTCGTTACATGTTTTAGAGGGAAGCATAAGTCTATTACATACATACATACTTGTTTGTGTATATGTCAATCATTTTGAAGCTGGTATGAGTAAATCTTAATCAGAAAGTAACAAAAAAGTCAGTTGTCAATATTTAAGAAAGATGAACGCTTCAAAGAGCAAATTCAAATGTCTTACTTTGACATCATTCGTTACATTCTTCCCTTTTTACTTGGTTGGTACAGCTTGCGTTAAGGCTCTTTTCGCCTCTTTGTCGTTCGCAACAAAAGGAAAGTGCGCGTAAAAGTAAAAGGATATGCCCGCAGTGGCGGTTTCAGAAAGGTGCATCGCTTTTTAAGAGTAAATTTGAGGAAAAGGATTTTTTAATTCACGTTTGCGGTGGCAACTGTGCGGCATAGCAGTGTGCGTGTTTTACATTGTCGTTGTGTAGAATGGTGTGACGGGATTTTGCGAAACCAAATAGATTTCTTGTGGATGAAACAAATTGAGCCTGAAAAAGGATTTAATTTAAGTTTCAACAATTGCAATCGCTTGCGTCTATTGGCTCAGTTTGTGGTGCGATGCAATTCCGACTTCATAGTTGAGTGCCCGTCAAAAGGATATGTGTAACGTACGAATATATTCATATGCCCGTACAGACTTATTGTACATATACTAGTAGGTATGTACCTATGGCGTAGAGTTATTTGCGTGGATCATTATTTGCCTGCACAGCTCCAACACCACGCACCAGACGCGTCAGCGATTGACAGGGTTGCCATTGTTCGAATGCAGCTGCTAACGGCTTAAAACTTCGGGACATACACGCATTCATTGACCCTCTCTTCATTCTAACCGATTGTTTCTTAAAAAACAACAATTTTTCATTTTACAAACTATAGATTTTTACACACACACGAATAAAGTAATTGCATACTTTTTTATTGAGCAAAGTCATTTCAATTAAATATGACAAATGTTTCTTAAAATTAGACCATTTGCTAGCACATCCAAATACTCGACGCAAGATTATAATTGGCGCGTTTCTTGAATAACTCAAGGCCCGCGAAAAAAGCGAATGGAATATTATTTGAAGAATTTATTGATGTATATAAGGTATATAAATATACAGTTATACTTTGATGGTTTAAATAGAAATCGAAAACGTTTTCTTGACTTTCTCGAAATTGAATAAAAATTTTAAAATGTGTGCTGGTTCTTTTTTAATTTAACGCAGCCGCAGATTCATCTTCGGCAAATAAATTACGAAGCATTTACTCAGCGTTTCTGGTTATTTACGCAGATGACAGATCGAATTACAGCAAGATATTTGCATATCTCAAAATGGGTCAGTTAATGGCGCAGAAACTCACGCATTCCCAAATGCGAGTCTATTTGTAGTGCTGCTGTGTACGCAAAGGAAAGTGAATTAATGCACACAAACATACAAACAACGGTAGAATTTAGGTTAATTGCCAAACGGCTCTTTGACTCAACACCCGGTGAGATGGCCGTAAGAGCCGAAGACATCTGGGATAGCAAGAACACTCCCTTAACAAGTCATTTGCATGTCGAAATCTTAGCGGCATATGCGCATACATGTGTGTGTGTGTGAGATGAGTTTTGTATTTATTACTTGAGTGGCATCAATCAAACGAGCATAAAATGTATTTATGGTTGTGTGTGCAAGACGCCGTCACCTCAATTTAATTAACTATGTGCTTTTATTAGCTGAAATTAGCAAGAAGAAATGAGCAAAGTTTCAAAGCACCAATCGTACATACATACAAGTATGCACAATTAAGACAAATTTTAAATGATAAAAAAGTCTTTGCCTAGTAGTGGTTACCTCTCTACGGGTATTATTAAACAACTGGAGGTATTTCTGTTATGCTTGAATTTGGTACAAGAATCTATTAGTCTACCGGTAGCGCTTCAATCTAGTAAGATACGCATAGATATTTTCCGAGCAATATAGGTATGGCATTTTGCCTTACGATATCAGCAAGCGTCCCACTAAAAGAAGATACAGTTATAAAAAAACCTAGCTAAGGTATTATTTTTAATTATCCATTACCCCTTCAAAAAAACCCTTTAATCTATAAAAAGTTCCGCTGAACGGCCAAGTATAAGACTACTTTGTTTGGATATTGGATATGCTGTTATTTGAATTATTTCCAAAAATTGCAAAGAAGTGTGAAGAATTACGACGATTCACACG